TTATATACTGAGCATGATGTCATATGGTATGGGATAGCCCTGGGGCCAGTCTGGGTCAGCCCCCCCGGCTGTGCCCCCTCCCAGCTCCTTGTGCACCTGGCAGAGCGTGGGAAGCTGAAAAGTCCTTGACTGGTGTAAGCTCTGCTCAGCAAAAACCAAAACATCAGTGCGTTATCAACATTATTCTCATCCTAAATCCAAAACACAGCGCTCTACCAGCTACTAAGAAGAAAACTAACTCTATCCCAGCTGAAACCAGGACAGGTGGCCTGTTCTGTTTTCAGTTCCATTTTACTTTGCATGCTAAGTAAACTGTTACTGGACCAATGCCTGCACCTTCTGTCTAGACTTCAGCTTCATTAGTAAGCAATTATTAAGGCTTACACTTGGAACTTTCCCACTGTTGCTTTCTTCAGAGGCTAATCATATCTCTCCTAAAGGGCAGTTTCTTTGTTCTTGTTGCTTTATCTGATATTGTTAAGCTTAGCTTTCCCAGAACATTAATAATATGTTTACACGGATATTTTTTTTTGTCCTATGCCAGGTCAAGTGCTTTTCCCAATTACTACCATTGTAATTGGGATGACCAAGATTTTTGACACATTGCTAGCTGCAGTCATTTTAACAAAGTTTTAAAAACGTTGGTGTGAGCAGTCATGAAAACTTGGAGCTGGCAGAGGATAAAGTGCTTTATCTCTGGGAAGCTGATTATAATCCTGACAGAAAAGTAAAGGCTGAAAATCACAAGTACTTTTAGACAAGCTAGTTGTTTAAATTCACTTTGTAGTTCATTGCCATTGCAATGTTGTCATCACATGTTATGCTAAAGACTACCTAAATCAAAGATCTATAAGAGTGATATTGGTTCTGCTTTAATCTTAATGTGATGATGTGCTTTATGTCTTCAAAAAAAAAAGAGGAATTGTTCTTCTGTGAGCTCTAATATTTTCTTATTTCCTTTTCAAAAAGACAAAGGAAAAAAACTTCAGAAAAATCTATGTAATAGAAGTTTGTAAGATACTCAGTTTTCTAGCAGATACTAAAATTCTGCTGCATCTTTTCCTGGCTTCCTAAGGGAAATCCTAAGAACAATGGTAAGAAATGAGGTCCGATTCCTCTGTTTTGCATTTCTGTCCAGGTTTGTAAGAGGAGAGAAACTAGACCAACCTGATTGTTAGCTGATATACGTTCTCACTGTGTTTGTTTGGATGTTTAGGGACTTCTGGGTGATCGAGGGCCTCCAGGGCCACAAGGCCCCAAAGGAGTTGAGGTAAGATGGAAAAATTATCCAATCAAGAGATTATATTTAAAAGAAAAAGTTGTGAGGGGTAAGAGGGTTAGACAACAATGGTTAGGTGTTTATGGTGGTGTCATGCAAAATTTCAAGTTTCTTTTGCATTTTGGCAGGTGTTGCAAAGAAGTTTTAGCAGCCTTATGGGGCTGTGCATCCATTACGTGGTTTCTTTTAGTTATTTCAGTGGAATCTCAGATAATATGTGTCCAGAGTCAGATGTGTTTCTTTTAGGTAAACTGGGGAGATGAGGGAGTGGGGGGTGGTATAGGGATAGAAACCATGTATCAATTTAATTACAGTATCCTAGATACACTTAAGTAAACAGTTAGACCCCTATTAACTGAAGAGGGAGGAAGGCAGCTCTTCGTCTTATAAATTTCTTGAGTATTCTTAATTCATCATCATAAAAATAAAAACTCATGTCTCTTAGGCTAAAAGTAATTAACATTAGAAATAATTCAATCAGTGATTCTGGGGATAGACCTCTAGGCTTCTAAGTAGCTTAATTATGGGCTTCCATGGCAGATATTGAGTGAGTAAAAGCTAACAGTGGCAAAATGATCTGTTTAGTTAGAAGCCAAGAAGCTGCAGACAGAATTTCTTAATTCCTCTGTTTCCTATTGCTTGTAATTGAAAAGGTTGTGTACCACTTCCTCCAAAACCTGGAGAAAATATTCCATATTGGGGAGGATCAGTGAACCATAAAATGATCACAGCATGACATCCTGGCATGGCATTGATACAAATCCATGCTTTAATATAACTGTGTAATGAGTGAACCCTGAAGAGTTAACACTGCAGTTCCCCATCATGCATAATTATATCAGGGCACTGCACAGCACAGGCACAATGTCTGCTTTCTTTTCTTACACACCTGACAAGCCTGATCCTCAGCCTCCCTCCATCCCTGAGAAAAGACAAGGATAAACCCTGGCAAAATGGCTGGGCTAACTTAGTGGGTGTACCGTAGCAACATGGAAGAGAAAAGCAGGAACGTTCCTACTGCTTTTATAGTCATGAAGTGTCAAATGTTGCTAGAAGGGAGTAACTGCATAGCAGACAGAGAGGTTGACCAATCATTGACCCCTGCTCAAAATTGTGAAAATATTGCTATAATGGTAGGTATACCAACAGTTTCACAGCCTTTCTGGCTGCATCTGGTGGCTACACAGGGCATGGCTTTCTGGCTAATGAATTTGTCTGAAATCAGATTAGTCTCTCTTACAGCATTTCTATCAGATTTGGACTCATACAAACACATATGAAGCAAATTTAAGATTCTATAATAAATACAGTTATCTGCAGGTTTTCTTTTTTAAAGCTAGACTTGGCATCAAGATTATTGAAGTCCTGATTTCTTTTAGGGAGAAGTAGGACCACCTGGACCTACTGGAGGAGTCGGCCCAAGAGTAAGTATAAGTAATTTTGTTAGGGCAGACTATTTTTCAGCAGAAGTACTGCTTTAAAAGGTAAATTTACTGTGAGAAGTGACTGTGTTAAAATGGCATCTCCTGAATAAATATGTCTCTTTCCTCAGCACACGCTCAAAGCAGAGCTGGGAGGAGAAATGGTTTTCCATACGAAGGATTTGGAAGGAAATCACAGCCATGGTGCACAAAATAAAATTTTTAAAAAGGAAAGATTTGATAACAAACTGCTTATGGTGCTCCTCTGAGACAGACGAAACCACCATGCGTTTCCTAGGGACTGAACCAGCTGATATATCAAAATATTTAAATTGGGGAAGAACCCACCATGAGACTTGGCTCACAGGGAGAAATGTAAAGGACTGATGCTTTAAGAAATCATTTTCAAACTGATCTGGTAGACAGTTGCTGAAAACATTAAAGCTGGAATATCACAATGCTGTTTATGCTGACATGTTTTAAAAGACAAAAGTTTAAAACTAACAACCAATTTTGTTAGTTATAAAAATGTACTAGTGTCTAAGTGTATTTTAGTGGACTTGAAGCTTCATTTTTAGAAAAATTCTAAGCTAAAAATGAATACTAGCCTGAACTATGGACTACGGGAGTGTCGCTAAGATTATTGAAAGCAATATGATCTTCTGCCTGTACTTGATTTGCTTATGTGGGGTAATCACTGCCTTGGTCTTCATTTTAGATGACTTCCCATTTCTTACATGAACTTGGGAAAGGCTTTCCCATTGTTTCCCGGTTCTAGAGTGGACATATTCCTATGTCACTTTTCCTGTTCATTAGCTAGTCAAAGCTGGGAATTTGCTTTTTGTTAGAAATAATATGAAAATGCTTATTTGCCACATGGATTAGGTGTTAAAAAACAAAAACAAACACCACCCCACCCCCCAAACCTTTCTTTTTCAGCTGAGGAAAACATGCAAAAAATTGAACAGAATTTCAAAACACTTTGTGACTCAGTTCAATATTCGGTTTAATCTGCCTGAGCTTCTGCCAAGAGCCTCATGGAAATTTTTATTTTGGCTGCATCATACTTTGAGTCCCCTCCTTGGGCAGGGCTTCATGGCTGGACAGCATCTCCCATGTTGTGCTGTGGCCATTGGAAAAGAAGATGCTGCAGCGGGTGACTCATGGGCAATGAGACAGCTACCTTCACATTCTCCGCATCACCGGGCATGCACAGGCCACCATCAGCTGGTGTCAAAGTGACCCAAGAGGAAAAATTTCTGTGTAACCTAGCAAACTGAAATATTTTTATCTATTTTGGGTCAGTTTGACCTAAATTATTTTGGTTTTGATTTCTCTCAATGGGAAATGTGCACACCATTGCCATGTCTTATGGCTCCCTGGTTTCTCTCTCTCTCACAACAAGCTGTTGAGAGAAGAATGTGTGGATCTGGGGTGGGCCCCAGGGTTGCTGCCTCCAGACATTTTTTAGTAGCTTGCTGGCTAACATCCCCTGCTGAAATGAGAGGCAGGGGAAATGGGAATTTTGCTTGATAGGGAGCCCTGCCTGTTTTTCCCCCTCATCCTGGGGCCCATCTGCTCTTGCCTGGATTCTATGGCTTCTGTTGGCTCCAGTTGTTTCACAGCTCCAGGCCAACTTGTTCGCACTGCTGCTCTGAACTCCCATCTCTGCTTGTCCTTACTTCTTCACTCCCACTTCTAACATAGACTGTGTGATTACACTGGGGAGAGAGAGAGTCCCAATCATGAAGTTGTTAAATCTGATACAATTTAGCAGGACTGAGTCAGTAAGCTGCTGAACACATCTGTCTTTTTAAATCATGCTCACTTGGTTGCAATTTCACATTCATTTGATTTACATAGGCTTTGTTTCCATTTTCCATTAAATGAGTTTAAAAAAGTGAATGCTTACATCTGAAAGTAAATGCTATCAGAATTGTGTTGTCACTGTACTAATTAAATAGCCATGGGGGCAGGGGAGGTGTCTGAGGGGGACCTGAAGAAGTGGTCTAGCCATGCATGTCCCCGAGGCACCATCAGCTGTCAGCCGTGCCTTTAGCTGATGGATGTGTCTCTATCTTGTTTTTTGCAACCTCCAGGGGTGGGGTTTCTTCATTTTACTTGCCAACCTTCTTCAGTCCTTTGCCTGTTTTACAGATGATTTTTCTAATGTCTAGTCTTTCTATCTGAAAGTCTTGCCTGTGTCTTCCTCGCTACAACCTTGCTTCCTGTCCTACAGACCTTATTTGTAGGCATGGTTAATAGGTTAGTCCTCTTTTCAGCCACTGTTATCCTGACTTTCTTAGGGTTTGTCTAAACTAGGTAAAGTATCCTTGTAGGTGATATACGGTAAACCTTTGATTATTCTTATGAAACTCTTCTAGTTTTCTCTTGGACAGTAACAGAGCAGGTTTCTAGTGCTTCTGGAATTCCTCATCTCTTCTACTGTGTCGTTTTCAGGTAAAAGTGTTCAACCTCCAGTTCAGGTTTAGGCATGCACCAAGCAGGCAGCCATAAATTTTCGCCTCATTTTTCTCCTCCCCACCACCCCATCCCCTGCCTCTGCCCCTCTTTCTGACATTTGCTTCAAAACACGTGCTTGAGACCAAAAACCCCTGGGTCCCACCTGAACAGTGCTGCCAGCAAAATAGATCATCTTCTACTGGAACGGAAGGTGAATATGAACCTGCACTCCAGTTCCCAGGTCCTAGCTTGAAAAAGAATTCCCATATGTCTAAAACAACTGGAGCCAAAACTGAGGATGCTTCCCCACTTACTCAGGATATATCTCAGGTTCCACAGAGCTCAGCCTATTTGAATTTAGGAAGAGGTTTTTGAGCTGAATCTGATCACAGAATATGATTTTTCATTCATTGCTTTCCAAAACTTCCCACCCATTCTGTTCCAAAGTCAAATACTTACATTCTCTTAAATTAATCCTTCTAAATAAAAAAATGCTGATTTTTTTTTAGTATTTCTTTATTTGTCCTGTGAAAATACAGTAGATGCCACATTAAAGAAGTGACTGTGTTTATTCAGTCTCCTCCCAATTAAGTCTCTTTCTCAAAGGCTATCCAAATATTAACATGTAACTGTCAGTGTAGCTCAGCTCAGTCAGTGCAAGCATTGGTGCATTTTATTGTTTTTGTATCTTCATCGTTGGAGCAGAAAATGCCTTTAAGGGTGGGGAGATTGTTTTAAACCAGAATGTAAAAAGGAATTGTTGTGAGTTGATTCCTTTCTGAGATACATGTGTAAAACAAAAGCTGGTATTTATATAGTCATAAGGTGAGCAGTTCCTCCTGAAGACGGAGGAAAGTGCTTTCAAAGCTGCCCCACTCCCCTAGCGCAATATTTTCTGAAGGTGGCATATGTCTTCCTGTGGGCTGAAGGCGTGTGAGGAGCTTGTGGAGGCATGGGAATAGAGTGATAGTGAGAGATATTTTTATTAATACACGCCTGTATCAACCCACTGTGAGGTGAAAGGAAGCACAGGTGGTTGCTGCTTCCTGAAAGGGCAGGGCAGAACTTTCAGCTAATATTTTAGGAAACAGACATTTCCCTTGGGATTTCCCTGCCCTGGAAGAGTAATTTTCTCAGGGGTTTGCAAGTAGAAAAGCAGGTGTCCTTAGTTTAACCTTCTGTCAGTGGCTTTTCCTTGATATGTAATTAACAGTTGTATTGCGTTTCTGTTTAAAGCAAAATCTGTATGTTTCAAATTGCTTTACCAGTTAAATCCACTTGTTCCACTTTCCGATCAAATTGCATCTGTTGTGAGTCCTTTGCAGCTAGTACATAGCTGGGGTACTACAGCCAAGAAACCTTTACAAGTTGTAACTCGCATTCAGTTTTGATAGGACTAAAATTATCAAGGTAGTTAATAGTGGCCACTAGTTTTCTTTCAATGAATTTTGTTTAAAACATTTTTAGGTTACAGTCTTGCTCTCTAGAAAGACCTTAAGGTTCTTTGCAGCAAAGTAGTTAAGTAGCATGTAGTAACCTGCAGAAGCCCATCACTTGTTCTTTGCTAAGCCTTGTGGAAAGACATGACTTGCTTTATCTGGGTCTCTCAGAACTTCTCTTCACTATCTTTTCTCCCCGCACTCCTGGCTGTGCCATATTTTAATCCATTGGCAAAAACAACAGTCTGTTCCTAAAACAGTGATATTTGTTGCAACTTGTGGGGCGAAATGAAATTGCGCAGGCAGGCAGAGAGAGAACGAGAGAGGTAAAAGGGATTAATATGAGAAGTTATGGAACCTACTAAGACAATATAATTTTAAGCCATATAGAGAATTTCTCAGATGCCTGGAAACTAACACACACGTCCTCTGAAAGAGGCACAGAACAGCCAGAGCAAAAGAGCCAAATGGAAAAGTCCCATCTTTTTTGAAGAAACCTGTTTGTTATCTGTTGCTTTAGTTGCTCTTGTCTCAAGACAAGACAGCCGATGTGGAAAGGAAAGCTCTCATTACAGAGTCCTGTGATTGCAATTATTCAGTCCGCTGGAACAACAACTAATAATTTCCTTTTAGCAGAAATCTGCATCTTTTTGTTACTGAATCATTAAAATGTTGAATTAATCTTCTTTCTCCAATAAGGCTTCAGCGATCTCATTAGCAACTTGCTCAAGAGCCAGATCCAGTCCATTGGACCTTTACTTTTGGACTAGGGTCTTTGCTCAGAGCAGATGGGGAAAGTTCGTCTAGGCAGGGCTATGCTGTTCAGATAACCAAATGGTTAGGCCAGGTTTTATGTTGCAGAGGAAGTAAAGTATACCTGGAGAGAAAACGACCTCCTAAAAGTGAGACATAATTAAGTTATAAACATCTAATAGAAAATTCAGGAAAAAAGCATTCTCGGTTTTATGCCTTTGTGGGTCTGTGTGAGTGACAACAGAGGGAAGGATGTATTTTATAAAATGCTTTAAAGATCTTGTCACTTCATGGCCTCCTGGTCTGATTGATGTTGCTGTATTTCTTCCAGGTAACAATATGTTAACAACTGAGTATCATAGCAACAAGATCTATCAGCAGCAAAATGCTAGTGGAGAGAGATAAGGCTTAAAATAATCAATTCAATGAACAAAGAGGAGAGGATATTTGAGCTGATTTTGTCTGGTTGAGGAAGGACAGTTATGACACCAGTCCCTGCAGTCTAAACATCAAATTCTGTTAGTATGAGTCCCTGTTCTGCTGGAATTAGCCAGGCGAGAACATGACCTTTGTCTCCTGACTATGTTTTTTAAAGTGAAATTGAAATGTGTTTGATTCTTGGATTGTGACTGTTTTTTCTCAGTGTTAACCACTGTAAGAGTTAATACAGATTCTGCTTACTGTGGTAGTATTTGCTGTAATAATCAACAGTGTATTTTCAGATGTGGAATTATAAATACACTAGCTTCAAATGTTGGTATTAAATATTACTAAACTGTACATTTTTGAGTGCACGTATTTTGATAAATACAGAAATTGAGATGAAATTATCTTTTAAAAATATTTACAATATTTTATTCTAATCATTATTTTAGGGAAAGCCAGGACAGAAAGGTTATATAGGTGATCCTGGACCAGAAGGTTTAAAGGTAAGTGATGGTTTTAGGTATGAAATAAAATGTGTTTGGACTATCAACTGTTTACAATTATATACTGCTATATACAGTGACATGCCAGTGAAAGGATATGAGTACACATGCTTCCATAGAATATAAATGTGTATCGTATTGGTGATTCTGCTTACTTGCAAGATCTCATTTTGGAAAAGAAGGAAATTATGCAGGTCTAGGAGACAGGGATGTGTGAGCAGAGACAGCACCTGCTGAAATGAGATCTAGCTGCCTGGTGATGCGAGGCTGGCTTGGCCTGGGGGCAACAAGGGACCAAGGGCAGTTCCTGCACTGGCAGGATTTTGGGGGTGTGAGGGGGGATGAGATGAAGTGCTGCAGTTTGAAAGAGGAGCTTGTGGCAGCAGAATTTCTCAGTGCTGAGTTGCAATCTGAGTAAACGGTACCCAAATCACTGTTCTGCAGGGCACTGAGATTATAGTCGTAGCCAGACAATTAATAGTGCATATACACCCAGCTTCCACTTGTAAAATACATAGCGAAGTGTTCCAGAGTTATGTAACATGACTTGCAGCATTGTTAAGGAGAACAGAGTTAATTAATCTAATACTTAATGCCAGTTCCAAGCTTTTGGGGGGTGGAGATGTTTGTTAAAATGGTATTCAAATGTCAATTTTTCTAATATTTCATTACAAAATTAAAGCTATCAATAGTGTGCACAGGTAACGTTTACTTTTGAAGCAGTTGTGAAATAATGAAGGTAATTTTCTGAAAGAAAAATGTAAATAAAAACTAAATCATTCATTTATAGTATTTGCTGGCTTAATGTATTTAGTGAACCCTTAATACATAGTTTTCATTTTTGTGGGCAAGTCCTAAATACATTAGGACAGTGCTTACAGGTTTTTACAAAATCAAAATTAGCCACTGACAAAATTAAATTCTTGCTGGTTGCTTAATTTTAGCTTTTAAAGTTTTAATTGGCGGATGTAATTTAGAAAATAAAGAGGTTCCTAGGAAAATAGAGGACTTTAATATACACATATGAAAGAAATTACTTTTCTAATGAACTACATTGTCTGTTTTCTACATTTAACAGGGAGAACAAGGAGATCAAGGAAACCTTGGAAAAACTGGTGAAGCAGTAAGCTTGAATTCTCTTTCTGGTTTTATTTTTAATTCTATGTTTATTTGAGAGTGAATGAGTACTTTGTTGCAGTAACTTTCTGATGAAGTTTGCCTTTCTTTGAAGCTGTAGTATGTTGGCTATACTTTTGTGGTCTTTCAGAATCATACTATTTAAAGAAATTGCCCATTTTAAGTATTTTCCAGAGTTAATTCTGCTTTTTTCCTAATAGGTTGAGTGAACATTACAGGTAGTTGTAGGGATCTTCCAAAGCATGTTCGAGTAAATGAATGAGTGATCCTTTTCCAGTGAAATCATTTGAGAGGCTACATTTAGCCTGGAGATGTATTTTGCAGAATTGTCCTGTCTGCCCTCCATAAAATCACAGAGCTCAAGGTGACCTTGAGGTGACACGTAGTGTATCCTCTACTGCCTAGGCAGGATCTCAGTTATCTTTATATCACTCCTGACAAACATTTGGGTAAGCAGTTATTAAAAAGCTCCAAGAACGAAGTCTCAACGATTTGCAGGCAGCCCAGGGCTTCTCTGTCTTTACTTTTAAAAAGTTCTTTCAATTGTATAACCTGACTCCCTTCTGCTGGAAGCAGCATTTTACAAATGATGGTTGTTATTGTGTGCCTCCTTCATTCTTTCTTTTCAGGCTAAACAGTCCCAATTCACTTAGCCTTTCATGTTTTCTAGATAATTTAAGTCACATTCTTACTCTGCTGTAGACTGTTTCCAATTCATCTAAACATCTATGACTCCAGCTTACTGCCCAAACTGTTCAGATTGCTGAGAGAAAGGAAAAATTGCTTCTTACAAGCCATATTCTTGCATACACATCCCCATTTTTGTAATAGCTTGTTGTTACTTGGTTTGTGATCCACAGTCTCCAATCCTTCTTTTTTAAAGTCATTATCTTTCCTAGTTCTTCCATTGTAGGTGCTTTTTAGATTATAATTATCACTTAAACATACTGCCTTGCAAGTTTCTCTGCTTAATTTCATCCCCTGCCCTTTTGTATTTTTGACATCTGTCTGGGAATTATGAGCAGATGTGAACTTGTTGACCCAGGTTTGAGTTACCCAGATGTTGTGTAGAACATGACTAAATTGATTTTGTTTCTTGAGTTAATGTATGCTGAGGAGAGATACCATACACTGGTTTGGGCTTAGTGCTGTACTACTGACATGAACTCTGTTCAACTTAGGCAGCAGTCAGAGTGAGGTCCCCATTGTCTGCAAAATGCCAAGCAGACATACCCCAGACAGTTCATCAAATGGTTGGTTACTGCTGAAATTTTCAGAACTCCTTGTAACTCAAGTCCAGCTCCTGTGTGCACTCTGAAGACTCTGTGCTCCAGGGAAGGGAACGAAGAAGCTGGACTCTCAGTCAGTTAAAAGCATGTGCTTAGACAGGAACTGATAATGCCATATAATGCCATAAGGTCCACTTAAAAGTCAGCCAGTGTATCTCTAAATGCAGCGACTATACTAGCAGCAGCTTAATCCGTAGCTTTGTTCAGCAGTTTATACACAGCAAAACCTTCATTTTGTTAGGTTATAATCAGAGCTGTAAAGCAATAGTTTCCTTTCCTTATGATACCATTTGGAAAATCTGGAGATTTTTATATGGCTGAATGATTAGGGCGAACGTGGATGAGTACTGGGGAATGATGATGTCACGGTAGAGGAGAATGGGTGGGACATCATAACACTATGTTGCTTTTATGGAGAGATGCAGAAATTACCCCTTACGGAGACACAGTAATATACTCTCCTGTCCATACAGCCAGCATTTCTCTGACAACATTACACTTGCTTTTTTTTTTTTTCCCAACAGTGTGCAAAATGAAGCTTTTATGACATATAAATTCTGGTTTTCAGCCTGTAACATGTTAGGGAAAATTGATAGCATTTACTCTGTTCTGCAGTGCCAGATGCACCAAAATCCTCAACAAAAGACAAAGCTAAGCTCAATCTGAAGTCACTCCATTAATAATAGTACATAAAACAGTCACTGAAGCTAGTTACTTAACCTTAAGTTTCTGGATTTGTCAGGGGCTTTGTTTTGCTCCTCAGTGAGCTTGAATTCAGTGCACACATTTTTCACAACTCAGATATTTTGTATAAACATAATATCATTCACCACTAAATGAGCTCCATTCTAATACAAATGTGATATTCACTAACTCAAATATATAATCAATGATTAAATGTTGCAATGATGATTAGTAATCATACCAATTACCTAACTGTAGTCAGGCACAAGCTGCAAGAATAAAATAACAAAAATAACAAAGATATTCTTTGTGCCAAAAAAGGGGATGTTGTAGCCCTGTTACAATGTTATAAAGAAAGATAATTATGGCCCATCATTAATTACCACTTCCCATACTTCCTGTTTGGAGAATTTGCATATGATACAGGATGACATGAGATACGTGAGAACTGAAGTGGTTTATAAGCTATTGATAAATACTCTTTATTTTTAATTGTGGATTGTAGAATGTCTTCTGCTTTATTTACATGCATTTTAATCAAATGAGTTTCATAGTCCCTTGATCCTATTATATTACCTTTGTATTATCTGGCAACAGAGGACTAACACCCACTATATTGTCTTTAGGGGGATAATATATATTATCTTGTGGTTAAGGCCAATGGTAAAACACCAAGAGCAGGAGACAGCCTTTCAAACACACTCAGCAGAACTCACAGGAAGACCTTTCAAAATCCCTTCCCTTCACTTTATTCACCACTGTAATCTGTAATGGTTAAGCTTTTCCTAAGTAAATTGAAAAGTACTAGCAGGAAGAGGATGGTTTTTCTCATATGCAGGAAATTGTTTCCCAGATGTGAGTCCTGATGCAAAATATTCACTTCTGTACACTTTGGATGCATTTTTTACTTCCAGCTCCTCACAGCTTCTGTTTGTAACAAGGAATTTTTCTTTTCCTTGGTGTGCAGAGAGATTCCAAACTTCTTCATTCACAGATAAATCTACTCCCTGCTATTCAATATTGGCTCTGACGGCATACATGATGACTCCAGGACATCTCTGGAATCAAACATGCTACACAGAAAAAAAAAAAAAAAGTTTGGAAAACAAAAGACAAAGTACAAGAGCAAAGTACAAATGCTACTAGCTGCTGTGATAGATTTTGAGATGGGGAGCCCAAAAGACAGTATGGAGTAAGGCATCTGTCCTTATTGATGCCTTGTGAAGTTTGTGTTACCAGATGCTTGGTGACAACAAATACAAAGAGGATTTGTACAAATAGCACTAAAAACGTGCAATTACTGTAAAATTTATTTAATAGTAAAGGCAAAGGGAAAAAGAAGTTACTAAAAAGTTGATAGGAAGTCCAGTGTCTAATAAAATTCTGTGTGTATGGTTTCTTCCTTCCACGCCACCCCCTGTTTTGACTTATCTATTGTTTGTTGTTTATTCATGATCTTTATTGACTGAGTTGTTCAAATTACAAATGATGATGTATACTTTTAAGCCCACAGTTGAAATATATGATACTGTTTTTTTTAGCAATGGGGAATCCATCACAGTATTCCAGTTCTCCAAAAGAAAACTAGTGCCTTTCTTGAATAAGCTGTCAAAAGAAGCAATTTTGCAATAATAAATCCTGTAAATGTTGATTTCATAGCAAATGATGACATGAAGCACATGTGCATGTCTGGTATTAATACCAAAGGGTTGCACCAATATTTTTCTTCTGTTTCTTTCCGTTTTCTTACTTTTTCTGGTATCACCCATCTTCTGTCTTTTGGCTAATACATCTGTCACTGCTGCCTGAGGTGCCAAAATAGTTACTGCTTTTCTGTAGCAGCTTTTCCAGGTCAAGTACTGCTTAATATCTGCTTAGAAAAATACAGGTGGCAACAGTGCACAAGCAGGGAAGTTTCAACAGCAGGAGATTGGGCCATAATGCTTGGTTATTCAGTCTGGTAAGATGGGATATGTGCTGAGATACAGCTTTGTCAATAGGCTAGAAGCCATATTGTCCAACATTTCTGAGGTCACATGAAGCTGCTGACTCTTAGAGCACATTTCTGCCAAAGTATTTCTGGATGCTTGTCCAGTGTGGAAACTGAGTAGACTAAATTTATAAAATGTTCACTGCGCTCATAAGCTTAAAATGACACACATTGTAATACTAGATCAGGAATGTGCCTAAGATCAAACTTCAGACACTATTGCTTAACCGAGTCCTACAATAGAAACCGTTTCTCTGGCTACCACGTACACCCTGATTAAAGGGGAAGGTGGGCAGGTTCAGGTGGTGCTGCTTGGCTAAGCAGAGCCCCAAGCTGTGATAGGACCCAGCAGCTGTCCTTTGCTGCAAGATATTCAGTTAACTGCAGGACCATCAGGTCCAATTGAAGAGGGATTGGTTAAGATGGTCAGAAGTAAGGGACAGCAGGCAGAGCAAATTTACACTGCTGATGAGACAAAATCTTTTGGAAGTCATGCCAAAGGAAACAACCACTGCAGCTACTGAGAAAATTGCCCTTACAACTGGGGGGTGGAAAATCTCACTTTGCTGACATGTGCAACTGGATTTTGTATGCTTAGATCAGATGCTATCCAGTGATGGATAGCAAATATTTGAAACCAGCTTCAAGCATCTCATACAAATGACCTGTCTGTGTTAAAGTGTCAGGCATAATTTAAGAAAATGATTCATTGCTCAACTTCCATGGCACAAAATTGAACTAATCTGAACTTAAAGCAGTTGCTTGTCAGAATTGTGTTACTGTTTGGTAATGCTAGTGTTTACCCAGACTGGGCCACACTGAATAACTAAGTACAAGTTAATTCAAATTTCTCCTTGCCAGCTTTGTTACAGAAATTCAGCCCTTGGCCCATACACTTTTGAATTAGAAATCACTGACATTTATACACATATTGAGATACAGTACAAGGGTAGAACTGTCAGCTGCAGCATGTACAACTGGTGTCAAAAGGACCAACTAAAGTAAGCAGAGTTCATGAACACA